GCGTTCTGTCATGGTATCTTATTGAACTTTTCTTCCTGTACTATGCCATTATTGACTTTCCACAATAAACCTGACTGATATTGGTTATTTGAGCTCTTCTATATATTTCATAACAAACCAAAGCATATCCAAGCAATTGACGCTATCATTTATCGACGCTGCCCACCAGCCTAGCATTGCTGACCAAATTACAGGGCAGGATCTGCTCCTGAGGTCTAGTGGCTGTTTTCTTTTGTCTGCTTAGGTGAAAGAGAGAGATGGACAAGAAGAGATAACTTGGGATGTTTTTGCCCCTTTTATAGCTCAGTCACCCTTTGGAAACCGTGTTCCTGGGCGTGACCAGTGGTGAGCTAGAGCTGGTTCACAAGAACCGGTTGTAAATTTAGAAGCCGGTGTAGAACCCGTTCCTAAAGGGGCGAGCAGGTGAGCAAACTCTGGCCCGCGGGACCGTCCTGCCCAGCTCACCTGAGCTCCCAGTTGGGGAGGCTCCCCTGGCCCCTCCCCCACGCAGAACCCAAGTGCGCTGCGCTGCCAGCACCAGTGCTCTGGGCAGCTCTGCAGCTCCTGCCACTTTGAGCGGCATGGTATGGGGGTGGGGCTGCGAGCTCCAGCGGGCTGCGTGGCATCCATACACGCTGCCCTGAGCAGCATGGTAAGGAGGGCCGGGCCGGGGCTGGGAGGAGGGGTTGGATAAGGGGCAGGGAGCAGTTGGAGGAGGCGGAGGTTCGGGGAGGGGGGGGGGGCGCGGTCAGGGGATGGGGAACGGGGGGGGTTGGGTAGGCGTGGGAGTTCCGGGGGTCTGTTGGGGTGGTGGTGGATGAGGTCGGGGCAGTCGGGGGACAGGAAGCGGGGCGACTTGGATAAGGGGTGGGGTCCTGGAGGGCAGTTAGGGTGCGGGGTCTCGAGAGGGGGTGGTCAGGGGACAAGGGGGGGGCGGGGTTGATGGGTTGCGGGTTCTGAGGGGAACAGTTGGGGGCAGGACGTGGGCTGGGATCGGATGGGGCGGGGGAGACAGGCACGTGGAGCTTGTACTCACCGTGCGGTTCCCTACTGGGTCTTCGGCGGTGGCGGGGGGGTCTTCACTTGTTCCGGGTGAAGTACCTGCCGCCGAAAACCCAGAGCGAGTGAAGACCCCCTCCGCCGCCAAAGTGCCGCCGGGGACCCGATGGGGAACCGGTTCTTAGGATTTTGGGAGCTCATCACTGGGCATGACCTCTGGTTAAAAGCGCTTTCCAGCTGAGAGCAAGGAGACACAGAGTTTGGGGGGGGAAAGGTTTCATACTGTCATTTGCCAAGATCAGATCTGTGTTTTCCTGCCCTGCTTCCTTGCCAAAGAATGACCACTTGATCAGGGCCGGATTAACTCTCCTGTGGGCCCGGGGCTATTAGATTTTTGTGGGGCCCCTAAGGGTTTGGAGTGGGGGAGTGGGCCCCGGGCTGGGGCAGGAGATTGGGGTGCAGGCTCCAGCCAGGAGACGCTTACCTCGGGCAGCTCCTGGCGTACCCAGCCAATGGGAGCTGCTGAGGGCAGCGCAAAGAGATTCCCTGAACGCCCCTCACCTGGATGCCGCAAGGGCACATTGGCGAGCCGGCACTCGCAGCTCCAGGCCTGAATGGGGGTGCTAAGGCTCAGGGACTGGTGTCTCGGCCCACGGCGTGGAGACTTACCGCAGGCCGGATGAAAAGAAGCAGTGGGCTACAAAGATTTTTACAATAGTGTGTCAGATGTGAATACGGGGGTGCGTTCTGTCATGGTATCTTATTGAACTTTTCTTCCTGTACTATGCCATTATTGACTTTCCACAATAAACCTGACTGATATTGGTTATTTGAGCTCTTCTATATATTTCATAACAAACCAAAGCATATCCAAGCAATTGACGCTATCATTTATCGACGCTGCCCACCAGCCACATAGGCTTTTAATTATAGGCAGGTTCCTTCTTTAAAAAGCTCATCGTGAATAGACCAGACCCTGGCACCTCTTAAAGAAGCCGGCCACCCTGGGACATTGGCCTTAAATGGTTGGTACATTCACTGCTGAAGTAAACCCGGTCTTTGCTTCTCCC